TGTCTCTTCTAAGAATCCAGCGTCACTTCCCAGAATTAACATTTCTCTGCATCAGGACACACATATTTTCCCCCCTTTAAATCTGTTTTGCTAAACAAATTAATCTCACACCAGATTATATTATGAAGAACCACAAATCTTTTCCAAGATAAGCATCTGTCGAGTTGGATTAGCAACGTCCAATGCACTGTGAATTAATTTGCTAAGCCCTATAATGGTGTCCCCGGCATTTAACTTTAGTAATATCAAATACAATTTGGAGCAAATGGGGACTTGCTTTCTCATCCATGTCTGTATAGTAAGTGACGTATACAGAGGAGATGACAGTAAATGAGGGCAGCAGTAAATTCCATTACGATGATGGTTTGTGAGTTTATTGAGGCAAAAACAAATGCTTTGCAAGCTGCTCCCGGGCGCCTGGCACAGGCCTGTGTGTGTGTGGATTCCAGAAGAAGGTACAGGGCCGGGAGGGACCGGTCTTTGGGGTGGCCCGTGCAGGGCCCCGCAGACTCTCCTGCCAGGCGCCCAAGCTCACGGCCCCATGTCCATGGCCTGGCGTGGACATAGAGCTGGGTTTTCGTTTCACAGTGATGTTTCTCTCTAGGCAAGAGGCGCTCAGAATGAAAACCACAGCTCTTTCATTCCAGTGAAGGGAGAAACCAGGCCACGGAACAAAGGCCAGCCTTCCATGGAAACCCGTCCAGCCACGGGCCACAGCCCGCCCGCCAGGATGCGGTCTCGTGCAGAGGCCAAGTGCAAAGGGACCCGGGGAGCGAGTCCCCCTTCTCCCGGTTTTTGAAGCCCCGGCTGGGGCCCATGGAGCCCAGACCCAGAAGAGGTGGAGAGGCGAGCGGGGTGGCAGCCGCCCCTCTGTGCCCTGGAACGGCACCGCCCCCGCCACCGGGGTCCCGGCGGGACACCCGCCGCTGTCCACGATGCGCATGCGCAGGTCCGACCCACGCACCTGCGTCGTGGTGGGGGCGGGGCCACGGCCAGGCCATGGAGACAGCGGCGCTGGAGGAGGGTTGGGACGGAGGGGCCCCTGACTCTGCGCTTTCCCCAGCTGGTCACGGAGCCGGGTCCACGCGGGCGGCTACCCGTGAAGGGGCGGGCTTCGGCCCTGGAGGATTTTAAGGGCTACTCCTTTCGAAGCAGCCGAAGGAGGAGGTGCAGGAGGAGGGAGCGGGGCACGGCAGGATGACGGGCCATGCGCGGGGACAGAGGAGGCGGAAGGAGCGACGACGCCCGCCCCGTCCCTCCTCACCGCCGCCCCAGCGGCCTCAGCCCTTCCCAGCTGCACAGAGCCACACCCTCCAAGGCCAAGAGTCCACGTGGCCCCGACGCCATCGGCTGCGCCCCACCTGCCCCCGAGCTGGACCCCGCAGGGGCAACGCGCCTCCCTTCGGGAAGGTGTGGCCCTATGTCCCGCAGGACTCGGCGGGATCCGACACAGCTTCGGGGGGCAAGGCGGGCACGGCACCCACTCGGGGCCGCCGCTTGGGGCGGAAGCTCCCCCTGTGCCTCCCGGCCACCCCCTCCCAGAGCACGGCCTGCGTCTGCCGCGGCGCGCCCTTCCCACGGCGGCCCTTGGCCTTGGCCACGGAGACCAGGGAGCCCCAGCAGGAAGCGTCACCCGGCGCAGCTCGGCGCCCCTCCCGAGCCACGCCCCCCAGGGCGCCTCTCACCCCAAGCCGAACCCAAGCCAGAAAGAGGGCGCCTACCTGAGGTCTCCCCCAGAATCCGCGGGGGCTGGGTGTCTTTCCCGCTGTCTCTGCTGGGACTGGTGGAAGGCTCTGTTGTGCTAACCCCAACCTGGATCCTGCTCCTGGGGTCCAGGGCCGCGGTGACCCCCTTAGTCTGCAGCGGCACGGAGGTGGCCGTGGCGGCCGAGGCGGTGGTGCTGGCGGGCGCCGCGGTGGTCCTCCGTGTTTGG